ATAATCTAGGTTTTTAATTAATTTGTTTTTTCTTGTTTTTTATTATATATATATTTCACCGGTTTATGTAGGTCAATATATTTGGAGGAGTTAGAGATGTTGATATATGCTTACTTGTAGTTGAATATTATCCTGGGATTGGTTCGGGAAGTCTCGGGGGGGGGGTTAGAAATATGTGTTACTTGTGATGTATAAAACTCTTTTTTTTTTCTGTATTGATGAAAATAATAAAAAAAAATTTGGAAAAAAAAAAAAAAAAAGAATATCTGATACATACATGCCTCAGTTTTTAAAGAAGAGAATAACGATATTTTTTTTATCACAGGCAGTTTTTCTCCCAGAATTCTCATGGGTAATATGCATATATGTGGGTATATCTTTCTTTAGGTTTCACAGAATAATTTCCCCTGGCAACCGTCTATCCCCTGCAGTAATAGTCTACCTGCAACGTGTACTACTGGGCAAAGTAAAGTAGTTGCTTGGTTGCAAGAATCAGAGGAGATGGACAAGTGTGCAGAAGGTGAGTACCTCCTTCTTTTAGTCATCAATCACTGCTACTGATACGGTAGAACATAGCTTGAAGCTACAATGAAAATGTACTTATTATATGTTATATAGCAAAAAAAAATATAGGAATTCTCCCTTGGCTGTATTTAAAATGAAGCCTCATCTTTTTAATTATATGCAATTTTTCCAAGAACCATCAACATTTAGATTTTCAGGACTAATCAAAAGTCTTTCCTAATGTTAGTATATTTTATACTTAAAACTACTCAATTTCCACTTAACAAATATTTCCTGTGTAGTACACATCTATGTAATGCAGAGCTGAAAATTCTGTAGTTTATATCAGTGGTGGCGAACCTATGGCACGGGTGCCAGAGGCAGCACTCAGAGCCCTCTCTGTGGGCACGTGCGCCGTCGCCCCTGTCCTAGGCCTTCAGCTGGCTTTTATAAAACCTTTTCGCTTTAGGCCTCCGCCGCCATGTGCAAAAAAAAAAAAAAGGTTCAATCAGTCAATTTCAACTTCTCGCAGGAAAAAAAAGATCTTGCAAAGTTTGAATTGATTGATTGAACTTTTTAGTCCCACCCGGTCTGCCGTTACCAGCACAGCCACGCCCACCCAATTGGCCACACCCACCTGGCACTCGACGATGTATAAGTGGGTTTGGGGTTGCAGTTTGGGCACTCAGTCTCTAAAAGGTTTGCCATCACTACTCTATATTATAGGTAATAATAATAACAACGTATTTTATACTTTCTACTTCACTGTTATCTTTTTTAATTTTTAAAATAGTTATCATTTCACTCAGGAATAATTGTAGGGATTAAAGATAACCCAAAATGAATTTTAGGATGTTCCCATTATTTGCCTTGAAATATAGTTTAAGAAGGTTGAAGAATCAAAGAAAAAAAAACCTTCCCAAAACTCTTGAGTGTTTCCAAGCAAAGGTTTTTTTTCCCATGGGTCACCTCACAAGCACATACATTGTTCCGTTCTACATATGGAATGATTTGCTATCATGATATCCACCAGTCTGAAGTTATTCCGAGAAGGTTTGGGGACATGCAGGAAGAAATTTCACAGTTGTATGGAATAGATGAAGGGAGCTCAAAATTGGTTAGCGTGATGTGGCCCGAAATGTATGTATTTTTACTGTGTGATCACCTTGTTTCCTTTATGGAATGTTAGTGGGTAATGGGGAGTGGGCTCAGATGTGATTTCAGTAAGTTCTCTTGTGTTCCTCTAGCAAATAAAATCTTAATCAGAATAAGTTTTTGTTGTTCTAAATGTGTTATTTTTTGTCAGATCTTGCACATTGTCAATCAAATCTTGTAAAACTCAGTAAAATTCTTCAGAACTTAGAAATACTTCAGAGAACTCAGTCAGCACCTAGCTTCACAGATATGCAGGTAAACAAAATAGATTTTAAAAATTATTGAAATAATGCTTGCTTATACTATTTATTTTGCATTTGAAATATTCTGTATGAATGTTCTCTGTCATGTCATTGTCAGTATATGAACTTCTAGTATGACACAAGATAGTGCAGAATTATTCATTATTACAGTCAAGTTCTCTAATGAGCGTAAACTGAAATAATTTTTAAGCCTAAATCACATACTTTGTTCTAAATTTAATTTTCAGTTGCCCTTTTGTTCTTCGTGTTAAGAACTGTTCTGAAAAGAAAAATGAAATTATCCTAGTTAGCAAATATTAGACAGAATTCTTTAGCATAAATGGTTGAAGAATTGTACTGCAATTCTTGTTTTTGAAACTGTCTTTAATGGCCTGTTTGCTTTATCTGTATCATATTGTATAGATTAGCACTTTGGCAGTCAACTAATGCTGGGTGTTTGTTACTAACTTTTGCAGTATTGTCCATGTCAGCTTTGTCAGCTTTAACCCAATGCTTTACTGCTTTAATTATTTTATAACATAGGCTAACAGTGTAGATAAGAAAGACAAGCGTGTCACCAGAAGATGGAGAACAAAAAGTGTGAGCAAAGATGCTAAAATACAGCTTCAGGTACTGAGTTCACTATATTTTAACTATGGTTTGGTTAAGTATTTGTTAAAAATAATAAAAACATAAAATTAACTTGGATTTGAAGTACTGGATATTTAATTATTGATAGCTTTTTAAAAAATTAAGATTAAGGTCTGCTGCTCAAATTATTTTTGTAATTATTTGTCCTTTCTTAGAACTGCTAGACCTTGTTGCAGAAATCCAGAGGACCGCTGGAAGGTAGCAGATAACTATAGGATTTTATTTCCATCTAGTGGTTCTTTGGATTTTACAGCATTGATCTGGTAACCATATCATTTCTCCTATGAGCACAAAGCCTTATTAAATAAAGAAAAAAGAAAGAGACAAAGAGAGAGAGAGAGAGACCTAAACAGATCGATTCCTTGTTATCAAGGCACTATCATAAGTTACATGATGAATATATATTGTCTATTTTGTGTGTGAATACATTTTGGGAAATCACATCTAATTGCTATACTTACAGAGCAGTTACACACAGCAGGGCAAGGTTTATCTACTCAAAAGTGATATTGTATGAAAGGTGTAGATACCCAAATTTTTGTTTTTATAGATACCTTAATGTAGGCAAAAAAATAAACTTTTCATTGAAGTGTCACAAAATCTGGTCTTGAATGCAGAATTTAATGAAATAAAAACAGCATTAATTCTACTGAAAAATGGTAAAGCAGCTGGAATGAAAGGAATTAGAGCCAAAGTATTCAAAGCTGGTAGAGATGATCTAATTCAATGACTACATTCACTATTACCCATTATTTGGCAGTCAGAGGAGGTCTCCACTGCATGGAAATGAAACGGCAATAGTTGCAAATGCAAAAGCTACTGGGACTTAGGATTTTACCAGTTGTTGGGGAAATCTTCATGAGAATCATTGGCTGACTTTCCAAAAACAATGGGAATAGACAATTGGAGAACAAACCAAAGAAGATTATTACTTTATGTGTTCATGAAAAAAGTTATATACAGATCAGCAGAAAGAACATGGTGAAACAGACTCTCTCAAGTTTGGCAAAGCAATAAGTCAAGGCTATGCACTTTCCCCTTATTTATTCAATCTATATGCTGAATATATAATAAGGGAGGCTGGATTGAAGTATGTCATGATTTTAAAATTGGAGGAAAAAACATCAGCAACCTCTGCTTTGTTGTTGATATTACTCTAATAACAAAAATGCAAAGGTCTGCAAGACTAGTTCTAAAACTCAAACGAGCGCAATGAAATAAATGGGATTAAACTAAATGACAATCAGTAGAACAATCAGTCTTAGAACAACCAGCCTTAGAATTGATAGGGAAGATATCAACATTGCAGATAGCATCTATCTTTTAGGATCAATCATCAACACAAAGGAACAAGCAATAAAGAATTAGGCTGCAGATTTGCACTTGCTAGAGCAGCCATAAAAAGATACTGAAATACCACAATGCATCTATAAACTATAGAGATCAAAACTGTGCAAGCCATGGTATTCCTGGTAATGCTCTGTGGAAGTGAAAGTTGGACTTTGAAGAATCGGGACATAAAGTTTCATTGGCGCTTTTGAAGTTTGACGTTGGACAAGTCTCCGGGAATACTGTGGACAGTGAAGAAAACATGTTCAGTGGTTCATTGAACAATTCAATCCACGCTTCTCACTTGGGACACAAATGACCAGACTCAAATGATCCTACTTTGGACACATGCAGAGACCTAGATTTCTGGACATCTCTAATGCTGAGCAAGATGGAAGGAAGGACAAGAGGACTCAGTTAGATGGACTCACTAGCAGTGATGATAAGTGTACTATTGGAAGACCAAGTTTGGGACAGATAGTCATGAAGAAAATCTATGTATATGGTTGCTAACTTTTTAAATCGGCAATGACTGTTTATATAGAATTGGCTGCCTAAGAACATACACAGTGAAAAGGCATAATAATAATATTTCCTGGAATTGAAACAATCACTGGGAAGTTGAATTTCAACCATAATGTCATTTTGTCAGTCCATCTTTACTGAAAATTATATCATATCCTACTCATCAGGTACACATCCTTATATTCTTTTCTTGGCAAAAATTATTTAGAATGGAATATATCCTGTCACAATTAATGTGTGTCTTATAGGAAATAATAGGATTGCAGTGTTACAGAGCCTTGCCAAAAGATGATGTTGGGTTCTAGATATTCTCTGAGCTTCTTATTTTACTGTAGACATTTCATACTAATCTAGATAACATAATTTATGCATAGGAAAATGGAGTTTCCTGCACTGGTAATGTTACCTACCCTAGCAATGAAATTTTGCAGAAAAACAGTGACACTCAGGGAACAATGAAAAATTTGACCCTGATCTTCATGTATTCTCTAAAGTTGAAAAAGACAGTATAAAACATTTTGGAAATGAATGTATTATTTATGGAAGAATTCACTCTAACAACTTTATAAACATTTCTTTTATGAGTGAAGTGGGATATCTTCACATGTTTTTTTTTAAATGACTACTTTTACAAAGAGACTATTGCAAACTTGAAAATAAGTAGTTTCTACTTAGAGAAATAATATAGGTCTAATGACAATTGCTTATAAGTGTACAGGACACATTGGAAAAAAATGGAATATAATGACTTCCACTGTATTCTTTCTGAAGTTAGAAGTAGGAGAGAAAGTGTTGTTACCCTGAGCCACACCACACACTGGAGCTTTGCAATAAAAGATTCTGTTTAAAATATGTGCCTTCAAGCTGAAATTAGTTTTGGTCTGTAGTATGGAGACAACCTGCTATGTCTTTCCCCAAAATCAGTGGGGGAAAAGCTAACTTCTAACATCTGACTATTTGTAAGGCAGTACTAATTGGTGTACAGTTAATCAGATAAGAAGGGAAAGTAAGATTGCATACAAAATATTTCATTTTCTACTTGAATTATGTTTCTGCTATAAGCAGTGGTGGGATTCAAATACCTGAACAACTGGTTCTCTTATTGGATGCAGGTCTGGGCCTCCGAGGCCTAGAACGGACTTCTGAAAGTGGCATCCACACACTTCCGGCGGGCTGTTCTAGGCTGCGGAGGCCTTTCCCAAGCCTCCGAGGCCTAGAATGAACTTCCAGAAGCAGTGTGCATTTAGCCGGTTCTCCGAACTCAGCAAAATTTAGCTTCCGGTTCTGGTGAACCGGCTGAATCCCACCACTGGCTATAAGTAAAATGAGGTTTTTTACATATAGATGATGTGGCATGCTTTGCATGAAATGTTTATATAGCAGTGGTTTTGTTATATCTCAGTTAATGTCTTGTGTAAGGAATACCAAATTTAGGCTATTTTACTCCTCATAATCTTGATGTTACTGCTCTGTTGATGCAGTCTGGGACTGCATTGGCTTTTTTGGCAGCTGTAGTACACTGCTGGCACATACTTACATAATGGTTTGCTAGGATACCAAGATCTTTCTCACAGTTACTACTGTTAGGCCAGGTGTTGCCTATTCTATAGCTGTGTATTTGGTTTTTCTTGCCTAAGTGCAGACTGCAATGTTGAAGCTGTTTTTTTTTATATAGCAGAAATTTCAAGGAGATTTTTCTAAATTTATTCCATGCTTTCAAAAATTCTGTTTAGATTGCTTTGTGACCTATTTATCATAATTTTCCCACATAGAAGGTATAATTCAGAAGCCTACAGAATTTGCACATTTTGGGATTAATGTAATGTTTTTGAAATTATGTAGAAAGATTTTAGAATAACAGTCAACAGTCTGAAGGATTGTTTTTCTATCAAATCACCAAAATTAAACAACAAAAAAGAAATAAATATTGCAACATTCTAAAACATAGCTTTGTATTTTTATGTAAATTGATATTTTGATGATATGTAGGATTAATGAAGATTGATCTGAAAGCGTGGATCCAAATTTTAATTTCACTGTCTCTATTTCTAATGTAGACAGATGCTCTGTATAAATGGGGAAGAGTATCCTCCCCTCAGTGTGACTATGGGGTCCCACATCAAGCTATAGATCACATCGTAATTGGTTGTAAGCTGAGGGCATACTACCGATCTAGTATCTGATTTTTTTTAATATAAACAATGCTGCGTTTCATTGGTTACATTGCCTAGACATTGGTATTTGAACATAGATCTTTTTAACATTTATATTTTACTGGGTTTTGCTAATCTAGATGAAATGTTAATATATTTTGCTAGTCCATGTATGATACGCCATGCGTTAAATAAATAGATAAATTTGTAATATGTTAATCTTGCAAGACTGTTCTGATTTAATACTAATAATTTATTGACTGGGGATGCATTGGCTTAGTGGTTAAGGACTCTGAGTTGGTCAGCTGGAAAAGCTGACAGCCAGGGTTTGAGATGCATCTCTGTGTAAAGTCACGCTGGCCACATGACCACAGAAATGCTTTGGACAACACTGGCTCCCTCAGCTAAGAAATTGAGATGAGCATAACCCCCTAGAATCAGAACAAATATATGGGAGAAACCTTTACCTTTAATCTATTTACTATATATCTATTTATTTTAATGCAACAGCTTAAATTGTTGCTGCTAAAGTATGAAAACCATTTGAAATAGAAAAAATATATTAGAAGCTACATGCAGTTATTTTTGGATATGTGACTTCTAAAAAAAACAGGATTCCAAATTTCTCCTATTGTAATAGACTAGTTCTCTTGGGTGGCTCATAATAGAAAGGTTCCTAGATATAACTAAGCATCTGTTTAAATCACATCTGGTATAAAATGGAAATGAATATTTTCTCTCTTTTCTGTGCCTTTTTCTGAGCTCCTTAGGTTAAAATATAGTAATGACTGTATTCAATATCCGTTTTAGCTGTATTCAGAGTTTTCCCACATCCTCCATCTGTTACTTCTGATTCTTACCTCTACTCCCCTTCAAATTAAACAATGTTTTAGTGTTGAAGACCATGAGGGATAGAGCTGCAGAAGCAAGAGATGCTGAAGGGAAACATCCACTGTAGGAATAGAAGTCTGTTTGCTTCACATTGCATATAGTCCAGGAATAAAATGAAAGAACTGTGCAGGAGGAATGAAGCAAAGATTTGTGCAACCTTAAGCCTTACTCCCTTTTTCTGGATTGAAATAAATGTAGTTAACTTGAACAAGCTTCAGAGGCAGAGGGGAAAACTTCCTGCCCAGCTAGGAATATGTTATGTATCTTACTTATTGTCAGTTGGACATACAAAGTTATGGTGTGGCTTTAAAAAGAGTTGTTTATAATCCTGCAAAACTACTGTTTGCTGCAGGCTGTGGAAAGGTAATTTTACAGTAGATCTTAGATGGCATATTGAAAGATGGTCATCACTCTTTTGGTAGATGAGACGTATAGGTAGTTATTTAATGTTTGGTGTTATTTGGGGATGGGGGATGCAGAATAGCTTTGAAAGGAAACGGACAGGTTAATAATGTAAAAATCTATAGGAAATATGAGTTTTGGAAACACTTAAAATATGAGCTTACTTTGTCTAGCTAAAATGCAGGAAATCTACAGAGAGGTCAAATAGTCTTGATGTCTGCCACAATCATGGACTCAAAAGTCCTTATGATACATGTAAAAAGGGCAGCGCCTCAGTTGCCTGGCAGTGTCTGCTATCTTCGCTTTTTTGACCCCTTTCTTGTAGCCACCCTGCTAACCTGTAAAGCAGGGGTAGTCAACCTTGGCTCTTTTATGACTCGTGGACTTCAATTCCCAGAATTCCTGAGCCAGCTTAGCTGGCTCAGGAATTCTGGGAGTTGAAGTCCACGAGTCATAAAAGAGCCAAGGTTGACTACCCCTGCTGTAAAGCATAGAGCAGCATTCCAGGTGATTGTATTAGAAATACAAAGTAAATCATCTGAATGTCACATCCTTAGTTTTTTGTTATCTTTTCATCCCATACCTATTTTTTTTATTATTTCCATGATAAATGTTTAGACATAAATCATAGTGGACCACAGTCAGGTGGTACTGAGAAAGCTGTATAACAATTACTCTGAATTTCTACTGCATATGATTCAGTGACAAAACAAAGTTCTTTTCTACCAAAATATTCTTTGCCACTACGACCTATGATAAATTTTGATGATTCCTCATAGATTGACAATATTGAATTAGAGCTAAGATTTGATTATTTGTTTACCTATTTCCTGAATTGGCCAATCAGCAAGCAATACAATTTCATTTAGTTTAATTATCACGATCTTACCCGAAGGAAGAAAACGAATAACTTTCCCTTCCTCCTATATACAGTAGATATAGGATAAGATAGACAGTCCCTGTTTAGGTTCAGAGAGTTATGCAATTTGGCTTTTTTAGGAAGAATATTCCATTAAAAAAAACCAACCCTTCCTTTCTTTGATCATCTGTCTCCTTCTTGCCTTCCATCATTCTTCTTCCTTCTTTTTGCTTCCCTGTTCTTTCCATGTTCCCTGTCAGGAAGGGACTGCACTGAAGGGCCAATTCGGTACTGCACGGCGCCGGCAGAGACTAGCAGCAGCAGTGGCTACAACAGTGAGTGGACTCCTCAGTCAAGGCATCTCCATTTTTAAAGATGAGAAACTGTATACCTTGAACATGCACTTACCATATGGAGAGCTTGGAGCCCTTCAAAGGCTGGTCACACTGGGGAAGTTTAGAGGGCAAGTCTGGAAAACTAGAGCTGTCACATAAGGGGGACGGTGGCGGATTGCAAGCATTTATATTTACACACAAATATAAATGAGATCATAAAGCTCTGATTTATAGGACTTTATAGAAGTGTTTTTAAGCACCTTACAAAAATCTAGCCAAACTTCATGGACTCTAGATCCTGTTGATTTTTGGAGAGAGAAAGTGTGGTTCTAGCAAAAAACCTTCAGTGTGACTGGACTGTAAATTGTATTGTTTATATAGTCTTTTTTCACATAAGCGGTTGTATTTTTATTTTCTGAGCTAAATTCTTTTGTGTTTTATACTCATGGTGTTCCTCATTATGAGCAGTATGTAAAGCATTACAGATGTTACATTGCCAGGAATTATTGCTAGTACCCATGGCTATTATACTGAGGAAGAGTAGCCCAGCTCCTTCGCTCTCACTCACCTCTTTATGCATGGCTTTCTATGGGATGGATGCGTCAGATTTTTTTAGTTGGGGGCCCACTTAGCCTTTGAATGGCATTTTGGGAATCAGCCTCCAACACAGGGGTCAAACTGACCAAGGGCTGGAGTGAAGGAAAGAAAAAAATGTTGATTTAAATTAAATGTAAACTAAATTAAATATAATGGATATACTCCATCCTCATGTGTTCAGTATTTTTCCCTGACAGGTGCAAAAGTTGTAATTAGGAGCAACAATTGGTGATGCTGCTCTCAAGACTTTGGAGGGCCCCCTAGGCTTTGTGACCCCAGACTATTTGCTCCTTCTCTGTTAGTGGATTCTGTGACCTAAACAGAAAGAAAGGCTTAAAAAATTCCAAGTGACCACGTGTATTTCCCTCCCTACAAGAGAGGCAAAGTTGTGGGAAATACAGAGGTTTCATAACTGAAAAAGCAAGTCAGACAGAATTTAAATCAACGTGGAAACATTTGTAAATAATGATTCTACATACAGACTTGTAACACATTCAGAATTTGGGTTTCTCTTAACTTGAAGCTTTAATATATTTGTTTCTGCTTGAATTGTTCAAAGAGGATGGCAGTTTAACACTTGATGGAAATGTTCATTCTGACATGACATATTAGCCATTTCAGTTAATTATTGATTATTGATTTGATTCTAGTAATGGTTTGGAAATTATACCTGACCTTTGATATGGAGCATTTATCTAATGCTTACCTTTGAGATCTTAATTTAATTTTACGTAGCTTATAAATCTATTCTTTTTCCTTTTAAAAATTGTTCTGTTTCCTCTTGGGTAGTGATTTTAATTACAAACGATATAACAATCGAAAGAGAAATACATAGCCAGGCAACTGAGTTTCATAAAAATAATTAAATTAATATAGTATGTATAACTAGAAAACTACACACATACAAACTCACACACAAATATATATTTAAAATGTGGATGCTTACTGAGAAAGGGTTTTAATATCAGAATTATTATGATCTTAGTATAATTGCTCACATTTATTTATAATAAAATACACAATCCATTTTCTCCCTGAAGATGTATATATCCAAAATGTATTTGTCTCTTTGTTTTTTATCTTGCCCTTATTATTTTTTTTTATAAATAACTCCCTCTCCAAAAAATGCAACTGTGCTAAAATGGAGTGATAATAAAACAACCAAATGCCTACGTATGTTGTATTTACACACACACACGCACACACACACACACATACATACATATATCAGGATGTATGAATATTAGTAAAAGGCTATTCAAATCTAATGCTCATTTTGGAGTGAACTCAGTGAAATCTGAGTAGCATTATTTCTCAGTTCAGTTGCTTAAGCCATACTGGTTCTTTTAATGGAAAAAAAGATTTCTGTACAAGGCCCATTAAAGAATTCCTTCATGTTATATTACATTATTAGATAAGTTTCATTTCTGCTCCATTCTGAAAAAGTCATATTACTACCATTATTGTTAATATGTTATTATTTTTCTTTTTAGACAACTAATAGGTGAACAAATCAATTAATCAATGAAATAAAGTTGGGTTGATTTGACTAGGTGGAAGTAGAAGAGTACAAACAATTCAGAAACTCAGAGAGAAGATATTTAATTATTTATGTTTGATTCCCTTGATAGGTCCCACAACTACTAAGGGACAGACAGTTCATGAATCTGAATTGTCAAAAAAAAAACAACAGAGAGAGAGAGAGAATGCCTGAGACATCTATAACGAGATTTTCTGATAAAGTAATAAGTGACTGTGTCGCTAATTAGCACCTTAATATATAAAATACATTTAATTATGAGCCATTTTTCAGCCCTGTAATACAGGACACTAGATAACTGAAACAATTCAGTAGAATACTAACAAATGACAAAATAAAATGTATGTTTATCAAAAGACATAGTGATTTAAAATAACAATATTAATAACAATTAAAAATCAGCTAATGAAGTAGATTACTGCAGTGATCAGGCTTGGTGCCAAGAAAAAATTAAAATTGTCCCTCCCTTCTGAACTTTCCATATGTAGGACATTTTAAATTTGAGACATTTAAGAAAGTCATTTTTGAGGAACTATCTGTTTATTGTACATGTCACTGGACTTCTTGTTCAGGCAGGCTTATTTGGTAGGAAATTACCTTTGATACAACCAAATCCTTCTCAACATAAAAAAATAAGAATTGGAATTGTGCTTGCAGCTGGACTGACCAAATAGATCAGAAATTGTAGGTAACTCTAGACTTACAATTATTTATTCAGTGACTGTTTGAAATTACAGAGGCACTTAGAAAAGTGACTTGTGACTGTTTTTCACACTTATGACCGCTGCAGCATCCCCACGGTCATTTGATCAAAATTTGGATGCTTAGCAATTGGCATGTATTTATGGCAGTTGCAGTGTCCCGGGGTCATGTGATCCCCTTTTGCAATCACCTTACAAACAAAACCAGATTCACTTAACATCCATGTTACTAACTTAACAATTGCAATGATTCACTTAACAACTATGGCAAGAAAGATCGTAAAATGGGGCAAAATTCCCTTAACAAGTGTCTTGCTTAGCCACAGAAATTTGGGGCTTAATCGTGATCGTAAATTGAGGACTACCAATATTTAGAAGTGGAATAGTGCTGAACACAAAATTATGGAACTTTTAATTTTTCGAAAAATTATTAAAAGTTAAATATAAATGTTGTAAACAAACATTTGAAATGGGCCTTCACGAAAGGATAAATACCCTATCACACCTTTATTCCACCATTGGTCCAGTTTGTAGATACTGTATAAAATTTATTCTCTTCTTTTCCTCTTGCCTAGCTTGTTAGAAAGAGCTCAGTTTTGAAATAGTCATATTCAACTGGTTTTAAATAATTAGTTCATATCTGTATTCAAATGTATGATTTACTTTATTATGGTCTATTGTATGTGTGCTAAAAAAAATAAATATTTAAAACTAAAAATAAGGTAGATACAGATTTCTCCCTGGCCTAGTTAGATCTTTTTAGGTATGATTTGCATTTATTCAGAGTCAGTGACCCTCCCTCCAAAAACAAGGATTCAAAGTGCTGTTGGAAGTATAAATATGCTCTGTTGGAAAACTGGGGCTTTCATAATTGGCATTTTTCTTGTTCTCTGATTCTTGGGTCATGTAGTTATTTCCTTCATTTCAAATGTCCAAGATTAAGAAAATCTTAAATCTTAAAAATGTTATCAGTTGTTTCTTTGATGGGGGAATTGCTGGATCTCTTTAGATCCTAGCTTTTCGAAAGAGCATACACTAAATAAATACTTGGTCTGTGGAGCACAAATATTCCCCCAGAGCTTTCCAGAGAATGAGTTAACTTCGTGTGAACTTCTTCTGTCCTTGCCTCCTATCATCCTCAAAGGAACCCATTGCAAGAAATGGTTTCCCCATGTCGGAGAAGTGTTTTCAGAGCCTCTAGAACAGGGGTGTCAAACTGCCGGCCCATGGACCGGTTTCATCATACTGAAGCCGCGCCCACCCCATGGCCGGCAGTGCAAAAAGAGTCACAATACGTCATGACATGTCACGTGACGTATTGAGTTTGACACATATGCTCTAGAAGGCAAGGTGTGGTTGCCCTAGCCCTCAGTCTTTATGAGGTTTATTTTTTCCCTCCTCATAGTTATGTTGTGAATTTAAAACACTTTCCTGCTTCCATTTTAAAGAGAAGATCCTAGTTTATTTCTCCCCTGGAAAGGTTTACGGTTCAGGGCTTAAATATAGTGGAACTTAGTGGATTTAATTGGGATTTAGATTCCAGATAATTGCTTAAATGGAACTTAACATTTCAGTTAGAATAACTAGATACTTAGAGGAAAGAAACAACAGAATTATAGTTTAGCTAAATAAGAATTTCAGTCCAGGTTTTGGTAACAATTTTATTTTAGGCCAGTTTCAAATAGTATGAAAAAGGAAATAAACTATTAAAATATAGAGTAATGTGTGATTTTTTATGTTGCTGTTGTTCAGATTATTTCAGAAGACTGTAATTTATTTTTTTTTGTGATTGGCAGGGCAAGCTTTTGAAAGTTCTTAGAATGAAGCAATTAGGATGACTTGTGAGGGAATTAAGGAATCCACACATTAAAGTTCTTGCCGTTCTTAAACAACAGCATCTTTTTCAGGCTTATAGAGAAAATACTTAAATGGGATACCTTAAATGATCAGCAAAGAGAGGCTGCACTTGTGTGAGATCAAAACCACATTGGTATCATATTTAAAGTGTGCATAGCCCTATTTTGTAATATTTTTCCAAGTATTGGTCCTTAAATTACACGAGCAATTTGAGTTGGAGTAAATTTTAAAATAAAATTGACTACATATCTAACATTACTTACGTTGTGCATGTTGATGCCATAGATTAGCTCGTAGGCATTTATGTGTGTTTGTTTTTATGAGCATATTTAGGATAGGTTTTACAGATATATCTCAAAGTTGCACATATGTTTTGTACTAAAATTATACATATTCAATGTACATTTAATATATATACAGAAACATATTTTAGAAAATAATAAAAAAGTAGAGATGGCATACTATCCTGGGCCTTTCAAGATATTCAAAGAATCTTAATTCTAAGTATTATATAGGGTACTTTTTAATCATGCCCTCCAGATATTGTTGAAAACCATCATGCACAAAGTTATGGGGGATTGAATTTAAAAGCATCTTGATAGCATGAATTTGGGGGAAAGCTGATGTAAATAAGATACTATATTTTCAAATTACACCAGTTTAGACACCAGAACAATAAGTGATTTGAAGATGTATTTCTTCGATATTAATCTTAACTCTTCTTTGGGAAAAATCCTTTTTTTAATTTACTGATCTGTTTAAGTGTGTGCTGAAACCATTACCTGAATATAATATATATCTAAAATGCCACCATTCACTTACCTGCTTTTTCAGGAATAATTTCAGCGGGTATTGATTAAAATCCATTATTTTATTCCTTCCCTCCAATATATAGTATGATTTGTTGCACTTTGCTTTCTTTAGAAGACCCTTGCTTTTACACATTATAAGTGTTAGCTCTGTGTGTGTTTTGAAAACTGTATCTATTCCTTGCATAGCATAAGTAGTTTTCAATTAATGTTCAAAAAGCATCAGCATTGATTTGAGAGAAGGGAGCCTAACTTGGCACTCGCTGCAAAATAAACAAAAGTGCTGGACTGCTTCCAGGTGAGGATTTTTGATGGAATTCCGTGATTTGCTTACTCACATTTTGTAGGAAGTTCACACAATATAATCACTTGCATAAATACTGCTTGTCCATATATTTTTATGAGATGTGGTTCTGAAATGTGGAGCACTCTATTTTCTGTGAATCTCACAATTTAGTACATGTTCAGTGTGATGTTTGCAAAAGGGTGTTGTTTTTATCACCTCACTGTTTTTTAAATGTTGTTTAAGTAATCTAAAGCATGTTTTCTGTTTTAAAAATTAAGATAATACTAAAATACAGCTTAAATACAGTGTCATATACAGTCCTACAACGTGTCCACATCTAAAAAATGGATTTCCAAACATGACTAGCACCATAATGCTACTTAAAAAAAACAACTTGATATAGTTTTCAATCACCAGTCACTTGCTAAAATGGTAGCAACTGTTAAGGGAACATTTTCATAGTATTAGTGCATGTGTATGGATATAAAAAGAGTCTGCATGCACACAAATACAAGAGTCAAATCTATTTAGAAACATTATTTAACAAAGAACAAAAATGAGTTATAAAAATAGCAATCACTAAGATAGGCTCATTCGCCCAATACATTAATATTCAAGCCAAAAACTGTGCATCTTTTAGACATGGAAGAATGCTATACTTTAACACAAATATACCAAACTTGAAGTATTCTATATATTTTTCCTTTTATTAAGATTGGACTATGAAATTTTTTATTTAAGGTCAAGGCAATTATCTTCTCGTCTCAAGACAATCGCTATCTTTGGTCTTTCTTGGGAGATGACCCTTCCGTTAAATTTTTTTGTTTGTTTTTTTGTTATGAAAGATTTATAAATGTTAAATAAAGCCTAAAATAACATAAGAAATTATTTAGTTATTATAAGGTTTTTCTGGTCTTTCATGGAAGTCAGTGTGATGTATCTGTTGATTTTCAATTTAGGTTCCTTTCAGTGCGACAATGTCTCCTGTTCGCCTACATTCATCTAATCCTAACCTTTATGCGGACATCGAATTTCAGACCCCACCAACTCATGTATCGGATCCTTTGGAAAACTCCACAGACTATATAAAACTCCAGGAAGAATTTTGCCTCATGGCTCAGAAAGGTAAGTGTTAGCATATCCCACTGGGCACTGCTGCTAGTTTGGCCATTTCATCTGTGAAAATGTAAACAGGTGGAATCAGTTACCTAAGAGACTTTTTCTTCCTGAATTGGTTACCAGGAATCCTTCTTGCAAATCTATTCTTGCAAAATAGATATCCTTGTACAAAGCTAGACCTGCATGAAAGTTGTGTTATCGCTTGGGTGGGTTTTTTTCATCAGATCAGTAGCTAATTTTCTTGAAACGTCTCAAGCCTGTGGCAGTGTTATCAGCTGTATTAATCTAACTGTTAAAAAACAGCCTTTGTTCTATTGAGGCTGTCATTGTAGTAAAAGTCAGAAGCAAATATAGTCTATCATTAGGAGCTGCGAGAGAGCATAGTTTGCTGAAACATTTTCAAACATTTTCAAGAACAGAATATAAATCACTTATCTCATGCTGTGTGTATCCGAGATGCTGTCAACCTTTTTCAGTTTTGGGGAGACAGTTGTGAAAGTATTCTAAAGAGGTATTTTGTATCCAGGTAGTCCTTGAGTTACGACCACAATTGAGCCCAACTTTTATGTTGCTAAGTGAAACATTTGTTAAGTGAGTTTTGCCCCATTTTATTATGACTTTTCTTGCAACAGTTGTTAAGTGAATCATTGCAGTTGTTAAGTGAATCTGGCTTCCCCATTGACTTTGCTTGTCAGAAGGTCACAAAAGTAGATCACAACTGGGACCCTGTGACGTTGGCAGTATTTATACTTGGTCAACGGTTTATAGGTTTAAAACTAGTACACTGGTACCCCTACGACTTCATCGGCATTTACATTTTTTACCAGTACAGTGAAAAAAGTAACGGCGACATTGAAACTTGTCAGTGATTTATTTGACAACATTCAGTTCCAGATGGACACATATCGCAAAAGGCTCAGTGCTTTTCTTACCTACTGTAACCTGCATGCTGCTCATTTCTATAACCTGTTTAGGTTACATTTAATACTTGCATACAAAAAACAATAAGGGTGTTTTTTCAAAGACATTCTTCTTTCTTCTTTAGTACATTCTCTTTTGAAGTCTGCGTTTAACAGTATAGCAATAGAAAAGGAAAAGCTGAAACAGATGGTAACAGATCATGATTTCGCAGGACGTAACACACAGATGATACGTCTCCGACAATCACTTTCTCAGGTAAGGTGATATGAAAATGAATGTTGACTTTTGAAATAGCTATAATGTATGGTGTGTGTGTATGTTTCTAACTACACATGACACGTGGCAACTTTTTAATAGATGGTGAAATACATAGTAGTACCAGCAATAATTTCCATTATATTTCATGCTTCCATGCAACATAATAAAAAACAAATGTTTGTGATTTCTTTTCCTTCCTAGTGTTTTCAATCTACTGTATATGATAAATCAATTTAATATTGTTTCTGCTGAAAAAAACATTATATTGATATTAACATTATACTTTATACTGATTTTTAATTTTATTTTTCTGCTACCTAGAATTCCACTTCAAGCATATCTTTAACCTCCTTTTTTTGCGTTCACATGTATCTTAGTTATAAAGGGAGCTATGTAGAAGTATTAATGTGGTAGACGCTGTTTCCTATGTATCCCTTCAACCTATTTTGCTGTGAGGGTGTGGTGCTAAGTAAATTAGTATGACACATCATGCCCAAGATTTTCCAAGGTTTTTTTTATGGAGAAGAAAAAAGAAACCTCTGCCCCCCCCCCCCAAATTGTATCCTGAGGTTTACAACAATTTCATCTGAAGAACTGTGCTACCAATTTTCAGTGGGAAATTGACATATTTTAGTTGCATGATAAGAGAGGCTCTTGAGACTGAAAAATAGTAGCTTATTGGCCTTAATGTTGCCTACCTTGATTAATCTGATATCTGCTTATTTACAGTAGATATCAACTGAAATAGATATCTTTATGGAGAACAGCAAATTTTTGTACGATTGCTATTTCATTCCACTTACTACGAATGAAGTAAAATGTAGTTTAAAAAAGGCCCATATTAAAGAACAACAACCAAAATAAAAACTCACGAACCACAGTAATAATAGTAGCAATAAAAGTTGTAAGTATTGTAAGTATTCAGAAAAATGGGAGAATAAGAGACCTCCGTCTTGGAACTATATTGAAGGTATCTGTCAAGCATTTTTGAGAAGGATGTTTCAGTGATAAAGTACCATTGAAAAAAGGAATTCACAAATACTTAGGTGTAGACTTCCTATCTGTCCACCTTTCCATTCAGATGATTAGTCTGTTTAAATAAAATCTGCATTTGCAATAATGTATTGTAATAAATGCAATGCAATACAATACAATACAATACAATACAATACAATACAATACAATACAATACAATATCGATTGCATGGAAGTAAAGCATACAAAATCCCATTGATATTTTTCTCAGTTTCGCCTTAACATCTATATAGTGTCCATATATATATATTCACAATTAATGTTGATATTAGGTTGTTAACATCTATAGTTTTTCTTTCATGTTTGTTTTACTGTTACTGTTTTCTGCTTGAAGTCATGCTTTAATTTCTAGAATTTTTCTAATTATGGTTTTTGTTGTGGAATTGTCTTGCTTCATTCATTCGGGGTTTTTTTTTTTTTCATGAGGTGATTAGATAATACAGGTTTTGGTTATAACCTCTTCTATTTTGTTACTTATTTTCCTTCCCAAGGAAGAGGAAATTATTTGCAATGTTTATTGATTAGCATTTATAGAATATCTTGAAACCCAGTATCCTAGAATATCTCCTTTCCTAGTGTAACAATTTCTACAAGGAGGAAAATAGGCAAAGAAGTAGTGAGGAAGAAAAAAAAACTTTTCATGGAATAATCCATATCTAGTAGGATGTTATTCTTTTGCCTCTGGTCACAATATCATCTAAGTGACCCAATTAGCATTTTTATTGTCGTGTAATTTATGGTATTATTTTTTAAAGATAAAATAGTAACATGGCATACAATTTTGCTTCCAGTCTGGCATCTTACAGTTCTCTGATCATTTAGTTTTCATTTCTTATGAGTTTCTGTAGAAGAACATAAAACATCTCTAAATCTAGAAAAGAATCAGGGTTAACAAGTGAAATCATATTTTTCTTTACTAATCTTTTCCTCTCTTTCTTTGATCACCAAAATGTTTGCCAAAATTTCCACGGTCCCACTCTGCTTTCCCCTCATTGCGATATGTTTCGGTGAATCCTCTTTTGCTACTGAATAGAATTCAGTTTCATAAATCAAGCTTGTCTAGCTTACTTAACATTAAACAGTTAATATTAAAATGTATGTTTTCTAATTTGTGGTAAATAAGGCATTTCAGGAGATGAGATTGCTGCTTTTTTTCTACCCCATTATATAAAAGCTAATGATTATTTGGAGAATATTTGCACTCTGTTACAAATATATTCAATAGTATGGGATAATATTAATATGAGAACCAATCTGGTGTAGTGATTAAGGCACCAAGCTAGAAATTGGGGAGACTGAATTATAGTCCTGCCTTAGGCACACAGCCAATTGGGTGAACTTTATCCAGTCCCTTAGTCTTGACCCTAGAAAGAAAGCAATGGCAAACCATTCCTAAATTTTGCCAAGAAAACTGCAGGCCCTTGTTCAGGCAGTCACTAGGAGTCAAGACTGATTTGAAAGTAGAGAGAGAGAAAAGGAGGGAGGGAGGGAGGGGGAGAGAGAGAATATGACTGATGATATCAGTAATAAGTATTGATATACTAAAGCAGTGGTTCTCAACCTGTGGGTCGGGACCCCATTTGGGGTCGATCGACCATTTCACGGGGGTTGCCAAGCAAGGCTGTCTGCCATTTTTTTTGTCTGCCATTTTTTTCCCCCTTTTCCGGCGGGTGCCTTACCTCCCTTGGGCTGGGCCAGCTGGTGGTCGGCCTGCTCCGTCTCTGCCGCTTGCCAGCTATGCCTCGGCCGGCGCAGGGGGCGGAACCACGCATGCGCGGCGCTCCCGGGCAGGGAAAGTCCTCGACTTACGACCGGTTTAGTCCTCGACTTACGACCAGTTGGGGTCGCGGCATTAAAAAGGTTGAGAACCACTGTACTAAAGAGTTACAAGCAGCAGTCATTATTATAAGTATTACTTCTATTAAGTGCATGTTTTCTTACTGAAGCAAGAAAATATATTCAGATAATTTTCCATTGGAAATTATGCATTCATGCTTATTTATTTATTGAGCTCATATGGGTTGCTTCTCTCACATTGAGATCCTAGGTGACTCATAACAACTAATAAAAACAGAACAAGCTTTTCCATTAGGGTCAAACCAATCAGCTCTCAATCTCCAGGCTAAACCCCCACCCTAGTCCAATGTTTGGAGGAAGAGGCAGGTCTTCATGGCCTTTCAGAAGGGTAAAATGTTTGGATTTTCTCAAATCTCAGTTGGGAGGCTATTCCAAAAGGCTCGGGCAGCTATAGAGAAGGCGTGCTTCCAATATCCCATCAGATGACAGAATTTAATGGAAGGGATTTCGAATTAGTTTTTCGTTCATAAACTAATGAAACAAGTCAGTATCTGCGTTATAAGTATGCAGGCCAATTCTGTGTAAGTCTGAATCTGGGTAAGATGTTTGTATTGGATTTCAGTCTTTATAGCCAAATATAATGAGATGTAAAAACGTTTCTGACACTATTTCTAAATTGATATGCCTCCCTAGAAAGTTTGCACATTTACTTAGAACAGTAAGAGGCAGATAGGCTCCATAGCCTATTCTCCATAGACTGTTTTTCTAATAATGGCTTACTCTTCATAGGGGAAACAAATATAGAAATCTGATTAATTTTCTTGTATAAAAGCAGTGTGGAAATTATTCTGAATAAGAAAATATTCCACAGGGAAAGATTTGAGCACCATTTTTACCACTCGTCCTCCCAAGGTGTGCTTTATTTAAAGGGTGCACATGGATCTTCCGTATTTTATCCTGATCTCAGACTTATCTAAATTGTGAGGGACTATGGATTTCTAGCAGGGTATTCTCAACATCATAGCCATAAAACCAGTAATAAAATATTGGGTGAAAATATCATGATACTGTAGTTATAATAATGCATAATAGGTAAATAAATCTTTGGGGAGTAGCATTTATGATCAGCAAGAGATGTTAATTTTGGAATTACATCTTCCCAATACATTACATAATAACACTATGCTTTGGCCAGGATATAGGAGATGAAGATAGCTTGGCTCTATTTTTTTACTATTCTTGTGCAATTGAAATTAAATATTCAATTTTATTATTTTAAGGCTCTCAACCAGAATGCTGAACTAAGAAGTCGTTTGAACAGAATACATTCAGAGTCTATTCTTTGTGATCAGGTTGTCAGTGTAAATATTATCCCTAGTCCTGATGAGGTAAGACTTTGGCATTGCTCTAATGCACTTACCATAGTTAAATTCTGCTAATAACCATTAATGGTTAAATGATTATGGTTGGCAAAGTTGGCAAGCCGTGGGACAAACTCATTTTAGATAATAATTTTCTAATTGCATTCATGAAAGTAATAAGCTATAATTAGTGGGAAATTCCCTTTGGAAAACCATAATTTAAATTGCTGAGTAGAATATTTGGCAACCTCATTCAGACAGTATTTGAACATGCAGCTGAAATGTAAATACATAAGAGCCGTGCCAGTTTATATTAAATACCTATATAGTATAACAGTCCGTTCCCAAATTACTATGGGGACCCTATGAATATTTAGCATTTTTTCTACTCATGTTTTCTGTAGCTGATCTTCAGAGATGATCCTAAGATTGGCCTAGAGCTGTCTGGCTTAATAGCCACTGGTAACTTTATTCCCCATGAATTTCTTGAATACCTTTTTAAATTATACCTAAGCTATAGGCTTATCCCAGAGAATGTTTATGCATATGGTTGTCAAGAATTAACATAAAAAAAAATAAAATAACATCAACTCAATGACATCTAATTAGTTGATCAGCAATTGATTTTAGGATGGCTAGTTCTCTATATTTAAATATTGTGGGAAGACAGACGTTCATTTCTTTTTCCTAAATATGCCTCTGAATTTCTGCGCTGTGAGAGAAATACTATACATTTTCTGTCTATTTATATCATGCATAATTTATTCATACCTGCTATCTTTTTTTTTCAAAACTAAAAATCTAAACTGATATATTTTTTTCTGGTTCCTGTTATGATCCCATGATCTTTTCTGGTTCATCCTTGCCTATTCAGTGGCCATCAGTGTGTTGTGGACTTATATTTTTGGCCTTGGTGCATATTATTTTATACTTAACAGTTCTTGAACCACATTTGCCATTTTATAGCCTCTTGCTCAGTTGATGGAAATGGGTTTAGAACTCTTCTCCACCATTTTTTGGCCACCCTGGTCAGTCAGTTACCTTATTTGGCTAGTCTAACTCTAGATCTTTAAAAACGAGTTTAAAATGTGTTAAAAAAGCATTAGTCATTATCAGTATAGGTCAGGGGTAGGCAACCTTGGCTATTTTATGACTCGTGGACTTCAACTCCCAGAATTCCTGAGCCAGCACGGCTCAGCTTGGAAACCTCTCCCTTTCCCCTCAGCATGGCTGGCTCAGGAATTCTGGGAGTTGAAGTCCACGAGTCATAAAAGAGCCAAGGTTGCCTACCCCTGGTATAGGTCCTCAGAGTAACCCCTCTACTCCATTCATGGTAAGAATTGTCTGCTTCCTTTCTGTTTTCTGATCATTTGGCATTTATCAATCTTATGCTTTGGATTTTAAAAGATGGAAGATAAACCAATTAGTATTGCAACAATACCTGTTGATGACCTTCTTTCTTTTCTGTTCTCCTTTTGAGCAGGAGACCTTCCAGGTTAGAAAATGTAAAACTTCACTTAGTTTTAAGAGATACATGAGAAGATAATGCTTACTGGTTTCACCAACGTCTCTATTTCATTATATATTTTTCTTTCAGACTCCTTTTCTTGAACGTTATGGTGTCTCTCTTCCTCTCTTACTTGCATTTTATGCCATATAATAATAATAATAATAATAATAATAATAATAATAATAATAATAATAATAATAATAATAATAATAATAAAGTTGGAAGAGACCTTGGAGGTCATCTAGTCAACCTCCTGCTCAGGCAGGAAACCCTATACCATTTCGGACAAATGGCTGTCCAGTCTCTTCTTAAAAACTTCCAGTGTTGGCGCATTCACCGCTTCTGGAGGCAGGTTTTTCCACTGGTTAATTGTTCTAACTGTCAGGAAGTTTCTCCTTAGTTTTAATTATGTTACCATGCACTTTGTTGGTTAACCCTTCAATTCAGACAAAAGTATATTTTTCTTGCATCTTTCATTTGAAGCTACGCCTATTGCATGCAGTTTGAATTCTTCCATAGTATGAATTGAGGCAAACGCATGTAGGTACTTTTTAAAGTTGCTACGCCCCTTTTGAAACAGAATTTCCTGCATCTGACAGCATATATAGCTTCTCATTTTCTTGGTTTGCAGTAATTGTTTTTCCTATATTCTTAGGTCTTCCCATCCTTTTGCAGTAGCTTCTTAGTGATGTGTGTTGAGCTTTGTTGTATATTGAGAAGTGTTATTTTAATGGAATATAATTTGCATTGGGAAGTAATGAAATAAAAGAGATCCATGCTGCAAGCCTGAATGACAGAGCTTATATATGACTTCTCCTAGAAAGGGAGAAGTGCTTGAAGTACAGTAAATAGAATACAAGCACTGCTTTTCCTAATAGCACACTTAATAGCAGAGTGGTAAGAAGACTATAATCAAAACTGGAGACCTGAAGAATTAAAAGTTATTAGCATACTCAATCCTGGAAATGTAACTTACTCAGAATTGAACATAGTCAGTGATTACAGAATGTTGAATGACAGTGGGGAAGAATAGAATTCCCTCTTTGAGGGAATGGCTGGCTGAGTATGAATTGAATTCTAGACAGCCAGTATTTTGTGGCAAGTCTCAACAATACATGTGGAAGTGCAGTGCAAACATACTAAGAATTGTATTAATCCTGAGGAAAGTAATGCATCTCTTTCTCCAGGTATCAGAAAGTTTCGAGTGCATCCTGAAAATATGACTCCTCTTCAACTAAATTCTCAATTTGCTAAATACAGGGCAGGTTTACAGGGCCATCTCTGCTTTATTTTCTCTATCAGTATGCGGGAAAGAAATGTAGAAAAGAAGCAGGGCATCTATCCATCATGGCTTGGTATGATTTTTGTTTTGTCATAGCTTGTATAAGCTCTTAGGCTAACTATACAATATGCAGAATTCATGTATATGTTTTTTCTTTTATAGACAGGTGAACAGATCCATGTTAGTCTCCCACTTTCCCAACAAGTTTCTAATGAGAGCAGGCTCTCCATGTCTGAATCTGTCTCTGAATTTTTTGATGCTCAAGAAGTGCTTCTGTCTGCAAGCTCATCAGAAAATGAGGTTAGGAAGAACAATCTTTACTCAGCAGTGTAATTCATAGTTATAATAAATTTATGTTTATGTAACGTGAGATTGAAGTACTGGATGCTTCATTTTAATTAGGAAAAGGGGCATGGCATAGCCTGTCCATCATTCACATCTATTAACTGCTTTGTTGATGTTCTTCATAAACATGTATGTCTCAGCCAGTGTTTCATGTATGAGGACCATCATATCAGTTAATTTTATTGCAAATGTTTTTAAGTTAATATACTGTACATGTTATTTAAACACTCTGAAATCCTAAATAAAATAAGAGCTATCATATCTGACCTGTAATACTGAGGACGACTACAAAATGGCAGCAAAATGCAAGATTTTTTAAAATCTCTCTGTTGCTTTTGCTTTTGCTTTTAGCAGTTGTTGCATTGTTGCTCTGCCAAGAGGGGGATTTACCACAGGTATGCGCACCTATCAATGTTTTATTTGAATGGGCAGAATACTTGCAGACAAACAGAGTGGACCTAAAAAAATAAAGATAAAAATAAGGAATTTGAATTTATGACAATAACATCTATTTCTTCAGTATAATAATAGTAATAATCAGTGTTATTATTTGTTTTCTTCATTAGGCTTCTGATGATGAATCTTACATAAGTGATGTGAGCGACAATATATCTGAGGACAACACTAGTGTTGGAGACAATATTTCTCGGCAAAGTATGCGGTTTCTTGACTTTTAGAAAATAAATTTTATATAATTTATACAGAGGCAAACAAGGAGTCTCCACTCTGAGAGCTACTTTCAAATTGCTTCTAATTTACTTTATTAGTTGCAGAAAATTACTTTTCTTTCCATTTTAATTCTGTGAGCTCTTTTTAATGTATGTTTTCTGTTAATCCATTTTTCTGCCTTTATCCTATCCTCTTTGCCATCACAAGATATTTTCAACCTCTTCTTCATCTTAGTCTTCTTTCTTTTGGTCACTTCAGGGTATTGTATTGTTTTATGTGCATAATTCCCATTTTTGCTCTCTATATTACTTTATTTCTATTTTCCAATTGACAAATTCTATATTTTCATTTTCTCGTGCAATAACACTTGGAATACTGATTAAATTTAAATATATAATTTATTTAAATAATTACATTTGCTAATTGAGTGGGTGGCACGATGGCTCAGCAGTTAAGACGCTGGGCTTCTTGGGTGGAAGGTTGACAGCCCGGGTTCAAGACCCAAGCATCATGTGATGAGGTTGAGCACCTGTCTTTGCCTAGCTCCTGCTCACCTAGCAGTTCAAAAGCATGTAAATATGAGTAGATAGATGCCATTTCAATAGGCAGAAAACAGCACTCCACAATGTCATGCTGGCCACATGTCTGAGGAAACGTCTTCAGACAGCGCTGACTCACAGCCTTGAAACGGAGATGAGCGCCGCCCCCTATAGTCAACAACGACTAGTGGAGTAAAATCCACAGGGAGCCTTTTCCTTTGCTGATTGAATGTACATACAAATATTTTTAACTTTTGTTACAAATGGAACTATAAACTGTAGAATTCCAACAACCCTGGATCTCTTAATTTTGTTGCTTATTTATAGCAATTTTATTAAAGATTACAGCAATAAAAACAAATGCGAAATAAAAAAAGGAAAGACTGAAAAAAAATTGAAGGTGCAAAAAAGAAAAATTAAAAATAAATAGGAATGTAGTAAAGATAAAGTAATATATAAAGAAGTGACTTCCCCCTTCTTTACAAGTATGAACAGTTTTAATCACTTATCTTCTTTTCACAACATACCATCTCTTCTTCCCATATCCCATCTGTTATCTATAAATAAATCCATAAAATCTCAATTGTTTCAACTCTATCAGCAAAAGTATTTTTCCTTTAATATATATATATATTCTTTAATATATCAATGCTTTTCAATATTTATATGTAGAAGATACATATATGTGTATATAAGGATATATATCTTTTTAATTCTTTTGCATTTTTTATTCTGTTATATTTTTCTTAGTTTGTATTAATTTTTTTATCTTTGTGTTTTTAAACTTTAATAAAAATTATTAAAACTTCAAAGTTTTAATTACCCTTTTACTGTTTATTTCAGAAAGATTTTTTAAAGTCATTAATATTGTATTTAAAACTTTATTTCGCTAAGGATTGAAGGAAATTTACCTGGTGCCGTTAAACATCACTCCAAATGTTCCTAATAGGTGAAAGGCAGTTAACAATAACAGTTTCCTAAAGTGATTAGAAAAGTATGCAAACCCAGTGTCCTTTCAAAGATACCAACCATGATTTGAATAAGAACCCCCCTCTCCCAGATTGCTAAATCTGTTGGAAACCACTGTCTTGAGGTCTTCTCATAAGGAGCAACTGTCTGGAGCACATATGGGCAATCTCAAGTCCTCTCCTTGCCTGGAGAGGAATTATAAAAAGCTGGTCTACTCACCAGCTCTTCATTCTGGTGCAACCGTCTTCAGTTCAGCAATTCTTTCTTGGAAATCCAAGGTCCCTTAATTTTGTCACACTGAAAAAAATAAAGTTGAAGACTGAAGAAATGATTAACATGATAATAAAACAGAATTCTATCCTTTGAGACCTAGTCAAGAGCAGGCAGCTTACAAGCAAATCAGATACCAAATCCTTCTTCCTTTTGATGAAAATGATAGTGCCCCTTAGTGGCTGAAATGTATTTTGTATTTACATTTGAAAGCTGTACTCTGTGTATAAGAAATTAGTACTCAGCTACTTGGGGGGGGGAAATCTAATTACAAAAAAATATTTGGGGAAATAAACAGTAGCAATATGTGAACAATTTCCCTTATTGCATTTATTATTTGAAAAGATATAATTAGATTTTTTAAAGCTATTACCAGAAGATTTTTATTTTTTCAATTATTTTACAGAAAATGGGCCTGGGGGAAAAAATAAACCATCTTTCTTCCTCTTTTTTCATGCTTCTTTTCTGAAACTCATATTTCTGCCTCTGTCAGCGAGTAGTTGATTGAATTATATGCAAAAGTACAGTAACATTAAAAAAAATCCTTTCAAAAAAAGAGATTGCCTTCTTTTAAAAATAATTAAAAGGGAAGAAAAATCTGTTTGGAAAATAAATTAATGGGAATAGAAAAGCAAAAGTGGGAATGAATGCGTAGATATAATTCTGTAATTCCATCTGTCGAGGAAGCTATGGAGAAAAAAAACTAAAGTGGTAAAAAGGCAAGCAATGAAAGATTAAACAAATATGTACCCCTGCGACTTACTTTGCTGTTTGAATATTTCAAGGTAAGCAGCTTATTCCATCTTTGTTTCTGTAACAGTTTGTTATGTACACATGACAAAGCAAAGGAAAATCTAGGTAAAGCCATGGTAAGGCATTGTGTGGTTTTATAAAGAAAATAATGACACCTGGATGCCTTGTAAAATTCTATGCACAATAAAAGCTTCATTTGGGACGATTCTTAATCCTTTTATTGATTTTAAATATGTTTTTTAAGGTTTTTGTCTGTCACTCAGGATTTAGTCAAGTGTGGTGATAGTCTCAGATACAAGGAAGGACTATGGGCTCAATTGTTGTAACAGATTCAAAAAAGTGGTACTAACCCCACAGTGAATTTCTGAATCCATGACATCAGGAGACAATATGACTTTAGTGGTATATTTGGTTAGTTGATTTTAAATAAGCAAACAAATCGTGGCCCCAAATAAGGAGATTCCTTACTGTAGTCTACAGACTTTGTTGTAGACTAATGTAAGATAATTAAAATTCAAACATAGTACAGGTATTCCTACCACAGTTGGGATCTATGACTTGGTTGTTAAGCAAAGCAGTTATGAAGTAAAAATCACGTGATTGCAGGCATGCTTATAATTTTACTTCAGTTTTCTCCTTTGCTCCTTCAGCTGAACTGGGTTTATTTTTCCTCTTTCTCTCTGAGGACATCTTAGTATGGGCTAAATAATTAAGAGAAAATTAAAAGAGAGATTCTGCAAAAGTCATAAATGTGAAGACTGGATGTTAAAGCTTTTTTTTTTTTAGCACTATTGTAACTTTGAAAAGTCACTAAATGAATCAGTGACTGTGAGATCTATAGTTTTATGTAATATCATGCCATATACATGCATACACACCCGCTGCACACACACAAACATATACTCACTGTATGTATAAATGTATATATTAGCACATTGTATAGGTTTCATGATATTCTGTTCTGTTTCTCTTTTAGTAATGAATGGGGAGCTAACAGGAGGTGCTTTCAGAAATGGACGAAGGACATGTCTTCCAACACCCTCCCCTGATACTAGTAATATAAATCTGTGGAACATTTTGAGAAATAATATTGGGAAGGACCTTTCCAAAGTATCAATGCCTGTAGAGCTCAATGAGCCTTTGAATACTTTGCAACATCTTTGCGAGGAACTGGAATATAGTGAACTTTTGGACAAAGCTGCTGAAAGCGATGATCCCTATGAACGTATGGTAATGGGCCTGATTATGGAACATATCATGGTGTTCCATAATGTGTTCCTTCTCTCTTAGACCTCTTGATATTTTGCATTCTCTAAAAAAGGAGTGATGTTGGCACAAGGAGGGCCTCTAGTTTTTACAAAAAGACCATTTGGTTGCCTATAAAAATGAATTTTGTAATAAACTTAAAAATTCCAAGATAGCCTGCCCATCTCTTTTCTGTGTGAGAATCATAAAATAGGTTCTGACAGGAAGAGAGTATTGGCAATGTTTATATTGCAAAGTCTTGCCCAAGTACCTTTCACTGCATTGCATTCTATTAGAATGACAGCTATATAAATATATAAAAATAAAAATTCAATTATGGTTTGCATAAGAAAAAGTCCTTCCATTATATTTATTTATATACATGAATGATGCTCCATCTTCTGTGTCTGGGAAATATACCCAAATTATTGTGAGCTGAATCTCTATAAAGACTTTTAACTATGATATATTTTCAAAGGTAAAGAAATATTTTAATTACACAGGATACATCCATTGTTTTTTTTTCTTATTGCAATACTGCCTTTTTAAAAAGTAGTAGATTTTTGTTAGCAACTTTTTTTATAGAAGTGGTTAAATACTAATGTGGGAGAAATTCACTTAGGAAGGTGTACGTTTCTGATCTGGAAATACAAGAACGAAAGAGTTACTCCCATATGCACAATATATATGAATGAAAAGTTTACTACAGTCAACAACTACATTTTTCTCCCTGAAATGATCTGTAGCTCTTTCTATCATCTGTTCAGTTAGATTAGACCCTCAGACATAAACAATCTAGTAAGTGTTCAGTTTGGAACATTTATTTGGAGCTTGGTTCCCAGGCAACTGAGAAAAGAACTTGAAATTGGGAAATCAGTTTGTTCTCAAAGCAATAAAATAGTTTATATTGTGATCCTGTTTGGAAGGAATAGAAAGCACTGCTTCCATAAATCCTGAAGCTAAAACATCCAACTCTCTCCCTTCCTTCTGGTTTGCCTCATCTTCTGCACCTCATAATAAGCTGTGATTCCCCACAACAAATAAATATGGCCACTGTATGTTCTTCAGATGCAGATTCCTATCTTGACTTTCCTCTTGTTTTTCCACAGAACCTTGTATCTTTGGAAGTGCATTATTACATTATATATAACATTATACAGAAGCAGACATACAACATAGATTCGGTGTCCATTCTGTCTTCCCCTTAAGTCTTCAAGATATAACATTCTTACATTTTTCTTTCCTGCATTGAAAAGCATTTGTGGCTAATAATAGAGCATTAGTCTGGCATTTCTTTCTGTTTTGATTTAGATCTTTGCTACACTCTGGAAGCAAATGAGAAATAATATAAAAAAATACAACAGATTTTTACTGTAAACAGGACAAAGGCGCACCTTAGAAAAGAACATGTTTGACTATACAGTTGTTACATGTGTCAAGCCAGTCTCTTTCAGAATTGTTTTCTTAAATATTGTTTTGTTGTTCTAATTAGGTCCTTATTGCTGCCTTTGCAACTTCAGGATATGCTTCCACTTATTACAGAGCAGGAAGCAAGCCTTTTAACCCTCTGCTTGGTGAGACTTACGAGTGTATCAGGGAAGACAAGGGATTTCGATTTTTCTCAGAGCAGGTATGAATAGCTATTATAAAGCTATTATATTGTTGTATTACTTTAATTTCTGGGAGGAATGAGGGTTATTTAAAACATTTCGTCTTGATTTATGAAGTGTTGAGAAGACCTCAGATTTGTTTTAAAACAATATTTGTTTTGGGAGCATTAGCTAAAATTCAGCATTTCAGAGTTCAGCTTTGCATTCATGTTCTTTGCATGGTTGCGTAGATTTTTTTTCCAGAGTGTGATGAATATAAAAATCTTGTGTAGATTTTGTATGTATAATTACTTGTATGTAATTTTTTTCCAGGTTAGCCATCACCCACCCATTTCTGCCTGTCACTGTGAATCAAAGAATTTTGTGTTTTGGCAAGGTATATATTTTAGTTACAAGTGGATGAATCAAATTTCAGTTAAAAAAAAAAAGAAAATTAGATTTTATACAATTCGCTTGTTGAAATTTAGCTTGAACAATTACAATAATCGCAAAGGCCAATTCTTATTTATTTATTTATTATTATATATTTACATTGAGAAATTAGAAATCAACAGTTTTCTGCCTCTGGATTAGCCTATTGCTCTGATTAGAACAAGGTATATTAGCTTATATCAGACATGTCAAACACAAGGCCCGATGTGGCCCGCGAAGTGGTTTCATGTGGCCCGCGAAGCCATCCTGGAAACAGTGAGGGAACGGCCCCCGCTGCCTTGGCCCTGGCCCAGGCCAGCCAGGAGCCAATGTACAATTTTGTGGTGGCCATCTTGGCACTTGCCCCGGTGGACCATGCCTTGGCACTTGCCCCAGTCCCACCCCCTTCTGCCAGAGACCCTCAGATCTGTCCCACTCCTGCCCAGGCCCCCATAGGCACCCTTGACGCGAATGATGTAGAACTGGGCACGCCCACCCAGTAGGCCACACCCACTCCATCCACACACCCCAGTAGGCTGCACCCACTCTGGCCACCCCCCCCACCCCCCCCAGGGCAACTGCAGTGCTGATGCGGCCCTCAGTGAAATTGAGTTTGACACCCCTGGCTTATATGATATGCGAGATGAATAAATGTGTATAGCATTTTGCATCTTTATAAATATTTCTTCTCTTCAGATATTAGATGGAAAAACAAATTCTGGGGGAAATCGATGGAAATACTGCCAATTGGAACTCTGAATGTGACACTTCCTAAGTAAGTGCTTTTAGTCTCTATGCCTTTTTTACTGTTAAATTGTTACTGTTAAACAGCAAGTTATTGTATAACATTACAGATACAAAATCTGAAAATGTGCAAAATGGAATAGGATCTGTTTTTAGCAGCGGCAAGAAAGCTGGAATTCCTGAAGAACCAGATCCCTGTGTCCTAGCAATAACAATTAATACTGAAATGAATTCTGGTTGAGCTAGTGTGAAAAGGTACTGCTGTTGATGGTCATTTCTTGAATGGATGGTGTTTTGATCCTTACAAAGGGTTGCCCGGCACAACTCGAGAACAGTGAAAACATTCAGATTTTCCTTTGTTATTTTCTTTGAAAGGGTAGATATATTTTAATGATTGAAAATGAAATATGTCCCTGCACAAACTGAAGGGTGTTGGGAAAGTGGAGGAAACCTGGTGCATTTTTTAGTCTTACTGTTCTTTAGTATGTTTATCCTGAAGCATGTTGCAGTTGATCAGCTGATGCCAACATCTTATAATTCAGCTTCCTTCACATAGAACTAATGCAATATGCAAACAGAACAATAAACTGAAAAAATGACTCAGATTTCTCATCAGTATACAGCCCATTATGTAGCTTTAGACCAGGGCTTTTCAACTGGTGGTGCCCATACCACTGATATATTTTGGCAACTGGCAGGTGGTACATGACCGTCCTAAACAAGTGCAGCTGGAGAGGGGAATGAGCTGAAGCAGTAGCAGCACCACACAAGCCTGAGGGAGAGACAGCTGGAGCTGCAGGGCTGACGGGGCTCAGCAGAAGCCCCAGGATCAGTGCCGGGTTCCAGCTGATTGGCACTTCCAGAAGCAGCGCATAGGTGGAGATGCACTGAAGAGAAAAGGAGGAGGGAGGAGAAGAGAGGAGAGGATATAAAAGGAGGTTTTGGTGGGAAAGGGAGAGGGGAAAAAAAGACAACGTGGGGAAAGAGAAGGGGATGGAAAAAGAGAGATGGAAAAGCGCAGCCTTGAGGAGAGGAATCAGCTGGAGGTGCACCGAAGAGAAAAATGGGGGGGGAGAGGATATAAAGGGAGGTGGTTTTGGCGGGAGAGAGAAAAAAAGACAATGGGGAAAGAGAAGGGGACAGAGAAGAAGCTGTGGAAGGAGAGCCCAGCAGGCAGGGAGGAAAAAGAGAGAGGAGAGGGAGAGAGGAAGAAGGGCCGAACAGCTATCTGACCACCAATGTAGTGGCGCATATTAATAAATATGGATAAATTCATCATACAAAGGGGAAAGTGATTCAGCAAAGGAACCGCCACTGAAGAAATTAAAACTGGTACTTTTTTCCTTGTTTTATGGTTTGAAACATTTTATTAGATTATAGAATAAAATACAAAAATACAAAAGCAAATAGTAGGACACAGTGGGGAGGAAGAAAGGAGGAAAAAGTGAAGGGGAGAAGGGAAAAAGAAAAGGCATTGACTTCCGACTTCTTCTATTGCAGTAGAGGGAAGCATTAACATCGAACCTCAACTTTTTATTTTTCCATAATAATGTAAACTAGCCATTTCTATAACAACAAATGAATCTAATCAATAAAACCCACCCACCCCCCTTTTTTTTTAGTCATCAGATTTTTGACACTTTGCTAAGCACTGGTAGTACTCGAAATATTGTCATGTTCTAAAAGTGGTACAATAATTGAAAAGGTTGAAAAGTCCTGCTTTACACAACTGACATTTTAATTTATTTTTAAATTTCTTTATTAGATTTATATCTTGTCTTTTGTTCGGGAACTAAATAGGTACCCTGCCTTTTTTTTCCACAACAACCCTGGGTGATAGGCTGTGTTGTGAGAAAGTGGCTTCAAATCACTCAGTGAACTTCTGCAGCTTACAAGGGGATATAATCTGGATCTCTCTAATTACAGTCCAGAACTTTAATCATTTACAACACTGGCTGTCTTTGTCTCAGTCTAATCTCTGTCAGTGGCTTACATTAACTTTTACCAGAAGTATTTTTTGAACTGCATACAGTACAAGCAACAGAATGATCAAAGACAATAATTGGTGTGAGGGAGTTGGCAGACCTGCAAGTGGATGCATTCATGTTAACCATTTTTTTTGTGATTAATTCTATCTTGTGAATGTAAGCGTTGTCTCCTCTAGAAGAGTATAAAAAAGATTTTTTTTTTAATTTTCTATGTGGATGTTAGTGCCTCCATTATCAGAAGTACCCTGTAAAGCATGATTTCAGGAAAATATTTGACAATCTAAATTATCATTTAAAAATGCTGTAATGTTGCACAGAGCTTTTATGGGAAAAAAGACAGTGGAAGTATTCAGCTTCAGTAGAGAGAGACCCAAACACCTGATGGACAAGCTTTTTAAATCTGCCAAAGCAGGTGTATTCTTATTATTACCATGCCAGACTGTGAGATGACTTTCCAGATATTTGTCAGGCCTGTTGTTTACAGTGTTTAAGTCTTGTTACTCCTCCAGATTTTTTGGTAGCTTTAGGAATCAGTGTGATGTAATTGCTGATGGATATAGACTTAAGTTTGATTAATGTTGCTTTATTATGTTTTTTATGGCAATGCAAAAAATGATTGTAAAAATTGTTGTGGACATAAAGATAGAGAAAAAGTAGAATATAAATGTTTAAATGTTCTTTGTGAGTTGTTCTTAATATTGGAAATGTAGTAAGATTTATTTGCACATGAGCTTGGAATGGTTTTAGAAAAGGTAATGCTGAAACGTATTACTCTTCCTTTTCTTTCTAGATACGGTGATTGCTACGTTTGGAACAAAGTCACTACTTGCATACATAACATCCTGAGTGGAAGGAGATGGATAGAGCATTATGGAGAAATAACAATCAGAAATACAAAAAGCAGTGTCTGTATTTGTAAGCTCACATTTATCAAGGTAGTTTTACTGTGATTATCATCATGAATGGTGAAGGGGCTACGCATTCTGTCAATGGCCTATTCACAGAAATGTCTGGAAATGCACTGAGTATGCACACCAGTTTCTATAGGCTTCTGTTTCAGTGGAGAGAACAGTTAATAGTCCTTTCAATTAGCTGCCACAGATTGTGTAAATTTAGTGGCAACTTCCCTGTATATTCTTATTGGATGCCATAATTAATGCAATCAGTGCCTTTATTCATGTCCAGTGATGCACATCTATAAATACCTTGTATAGCTCTATGGTTAACAGTGACATATAATAGAATTTTGAGCATGTAAAATCATTGTTCTGCATCATTTTATTTAAGTCCTCTGCATTAGTAACAACAGCAACAACAATTTATTAAATCTGTATACTGCCTGACTCCCAATGGCTCAGGAAAATAATACTGTGAATCTAGGTGTTTCTAGTTATATGAACCAATTCAGCATGACAGTGAAAGCCAGCATGACAGCTGGCTCAGGAATTCTGGGAGTTGAAGTCCACGAGTCATAAAAGAGCCAAGGTTGACTACCCCTGGTCTAACTGGAAATATTTTTCCATTTTTGATTTTCAATCCTTCCCCATAAATAAATACCTGTCTTTAAGCAAAATAGTTATAAAAACAGGGCACAGCCCCTTTTTCTCTCTGTCACTCAGAATGATTTTTCTAGGATGGGTGAGAACTTCTGACTTACCCCATGGATCTGTGGAAGCCAGCATAAGTAATATTTAAATGAGTAAAGATTTCCTGTCTTCATTTTAAGATGCTGTGAGATTCATATATACTACCTGAAATATCTGGCATTTATTCCCTTGCAGATTGATGTAGATGTGACCTGTTAATTTATTGTCAGTAGTGCAATTAATCAGTTAAGATTTCTTTGATTAGATCCCAACCTTGCTGGAGTTCATGGGCCTTGACAGTTACATGCAGATAATTAACAAAAAGGAAAAATTAGAAAAGCCAGTTGTGACTGGATTCCCAACCAAGAATGCTGTTTCTTTTTTGAGCTCCAGACAGGAAAAAAAATCTGCCTTACAAAATGCTTCTACTTGTCAAGAAGACTAAAGTACTTTTGAGTAGGATATAAAATAATCTTACTTTTACAGCCTTTTCCATTATCCCAGCAATCACCTTTTTATGATCTTCTACAGAATTGGAGCAGCCTGTGGAAGGAGACCTTCATATTACAATCCCCTTTTAAATTAGAGGTCTGCCATAACTCAGAACACTCACATATATACTGTAGTGTGTTGGGTTATAAACAAGATTACATTTTTTTTCCTCATGGGATTGCGTGTGATGAATCAGAGCAGTTATCGAGCGCTGTTAGTAAGGAATTGAGGGTTGCATTCTTGCTGTTGATTGATGGCAGAGATACTCTTGATGTTAGATGATTTGTTTTACATTTAATAAAACCAAACTATTTCGTTAACATTTTTAGGTGAATTACTGGAATTCTAATGTAAATGAAGTTCAAGGTGTTGTCATGGACCAAGAAGGAAAAGTGGTACATCGCCTTTTTGGAAAATGGCATGAAGGATTATATTGTGGAATTGCACCTTCAGCAAAATGTATATGGAGGCCTGGTAATACATGACATTTATATAATTCTAAACATAACTAAGCAAGTAACAGAGAAAGGAGTAGAATTTGTACTATGGACGCAGGGATTTCATCTCAGTATGCCAGATATGATAGCTTGGAACATTAATTGTAGCTTAGAAACTGTAAGTGTAAGTCATTGCTGTCCTTTCCATGATGAAATCTAAATCAAACTCGGCTTATTTAGAAAGCTGTGTGTTCCATAATACGTTCTCAGATCAAGCAGGAATAATGCAAAATGCTACAAGTTGTTAAATAGTATAAGTTGGGTGAAGAGAGATATAATATTTTGAGCATGAGGGTAAATGATTAATGCCACTGTTGCCATTAAAATGAATGTGCATTTTTCAGTATTGTACACATTTTTTATATTCTTCAAGTTGAACAAAAAAAAGCAGTTCCTCTGAAAAAAGAAACGGTTACTTACTTAATCAATTAGACTTACTGGTTAGGACAAGATTACAGTCGGTTTTTCCCCGTATTTGAACGATGAATTTTGTGAAACTGAATGTTAAAAAAATAAAGAATATTGGAAGAGAAAGTAAAAATAATGTAGTGGATTTTATGGAGTACTTCTATTGATGGATAAAAAAAATAGGATTCTTTGATCAAGGATACAAGTTGTATCTTCTGAACTAAATCTTGTATTTTTCTAACTTTTCAAAATTAGTAGCTATGAGGCAGGTCCTAGTTCTCCTATAATTCAAATGCTGGTTTTCTGATTTAACAAAAGTCATATGAGAACTAGTTGAGAATTTGAATTTTCTTTATCCTTTTAAATCTTAATGTTTCCAGATGGACCACAGTACAGATAGTCCTCCTTTACCAACTGCCTTGGATAGCAACCATTTGTAAATATGATTATAATTAATGATAATAAAAAAATTCATTTTATGACCAATGTGGACAACAAAAACCTTTAGTGTGAAATTGATTAAGGTCTGGTCAGTTTCAGGCAGCAGCTGCCAGGTTGTTGGAGGCAACAGAAGACCATATAAAAGGTCTATTCAGAACTGCTTCCTTTCTGTAAAATTAGATCATCCTGTATGCTCATGCCAAGCCAGGATGTTAAGGGTTCCCCACATATTGATTTATTAAATTGATACGCTGTCATCTCCCCTAAACTCATATATTAAGTGAGAGAATGGGGACTCAAAACAGTGTTTTTCACAAGATGGCGGTGTTGGGATCTTTTCAGAAAACTGCCAGAACTGACGATTTTCATAAGGCCTTTAAACTGTTCTTGCTTCATAATGTTGCATTCTGGTTTTATCTATTTGTACACGCCCATGATTCAGCCTGATTCAGCAATATAAAAATATAAGTTAAATAAAAGAACAGAATAACAGAGTTAGAAGGAACCCTGAAGATCCTCCAGTCCAACCCCCAACCAAAGAGGAGACCCCATACCATTTCAGAAAATGGTTGTTCAGTCTCCTTACAGTGTTGCAGCACCCACAACTTTTGGAGTCAAGCCATTCCACTGATTAATTGTTCTCACTGTCAGGATATTCCTCCTTTGTTCTAGGTTGGTTCTCTCCTTGATTAGTTCCCATCCATTGCTTCTTGTGTTTCCATCCATTGCTTCTTGTGCATAAAGCATAATATGAATGCCCGTGCTGTGCCTCAGTGATGTGGAAGGCCAACTTTCAGTAGTGTCTGTAAGACCATTGAAGGCTTAAGTATCCATCTTCTCTGGAATCTTTCAGGATGATCTTTCTTCCTGAAGTAATTTCGTTCTTGCACGAAGAAGCATGAAGTGATTGTGTCAGACCATTTCATGCCTTTCTGGGTAAGAGGGATTTTATGGGACAAGGTTTGGGAAAGCACATGGGGGTCCTAGCCAAGCAGAGCATATTTTGACAAAAACACGAGCAGTGCACCATCATCCATATTATCGCTATAGCAGGTGGAATAATGTCTTCCCACAAAACCATTGTTTAGAGAGTTTTAGAGAGTGCTGCATATAGGGTGTTTAATGAAGAGCAAGGACAAGTATTTTCTTCATCATGTAGACCTAGTGTTTATTCACAGGGGTTAATTACTACCTTTATTTTATTTTTTAATACAGGTTCCATGCCAACAAATAATGAGCATTACTATGGTTTCACAAGGTTTGCCATTGAGCTGAATGAGTTAGATCCTGCACTGAAAGACCTTCTTCCAAAAACAGATGCTCGATTCAGGCCAGATCAAAGGCAAGAAGCACACTCTTTTTTTCTTTTTTTCTTTTAAATGGCTACGGCTGCTTTTGACTAAATATTATAAAGAACATTAATGTTAAAAAATTCATCTGAAATGTGGATCACTGCTGCTCAGGGAAAGCTTGCGCCAGACAATTTGAGAAGTGTTTAAAAATTTTAATATGTGAACTTACAAACAGTGCAGCAGACAGGGGTCACCTTAAAAGAGGTTTCCCTTCCTATTTTGTTCCCCTTCCCACCTCATAAATACTTTTTGTAATATACTATCTGCACTAATGTGCAACTGCATATTGTAGAAAAAAGGGAGGGAGTCTGTTTCTCCAAAACCATAGAGTTTAATCATATATATTTATTCTGATTCAATCAATATTTATTTACTTGAATGACAGCGCTATCAATTTTATCTAATCTGCATTGTATAGAACATGTGATTTAGGTGATTCCTGAAGTTTAGTATTTCTGGATTTTGTTGTTGCATTTTTTAAAGGTTGGCATATATCTGCTGAAAAATCTAATTCTTAACTATAGGTACTTGGAAGATGGAAATTTAGAAGAAGCAGCAGCAGAAAAACAAAGAATTGAAGAACTCCAGAGATGCCGGAGACGTTATTTAGAGGAAAACAATATGGAACATGTACCAAATTTTTTTAAGTAAGTAATCTCTCTCTCTCTCTATGATTTTTGTACAAACAGAGTGGGGCTGGTGTATATAATGGTGTAAAAATATTAATAAAAATACAAATGTCTTTGGCATTAGAAATTGTCTTGTATTATGTAAAATCTGCATGTTTCTTATTGTAAACTGAATTATTTTCAAAAATGTTTCAAAACATAGGGAGAAAATTGGTTGTAGCCTAGGGTCTTATTCCTCAAATACGTTTGACTCAAAGATGATGATTTTTGTGAAACTTGATTTAAATTGTGAGAAATCAGTTTTATTTGTAATATGTAGTCATTGTATTATTCTTGAAATTCAGAGATCTAACATTGTTTGATCCTCACATTGGTGTTTTATGCATGCACTATCTTTCATAAATTTTCCCCTAGCTAGATAAAGAGAATTGTCCAAGCAAATAAGTGTATGTGCAGTTCCTCTCTTTTATGTAACGTTGTGAACTTAGAAAAACAAAAATCTGCCAAGTACCTAAGAGTAAAATTCAATCTCTTTTCTCCTTCTCTGCCAAATAATTATTTTATTTATAGTCTAATCCCTCTTCGGATGGAGTAATTCCTTCTGTGTATACAACAATATGAAGTGGTGTCCCCAGACTGAAGCAGGTATAAAAGATAAAATTTGTAAATTAGAGGACGCAGATTATAGAGTTATGTATTTCCAGATAGAGCTGAAGTCTTATAACGAGTAGCAGAAATTAGTTGATTCCAAGACTCTCTCAAAACCTATTTCTTCTTTGTCTATAATAACTGTTTATATTTCCTCTTGAAGAGCATCAAAGCAGAGCAGCAACTCATCCTGGGTTGAATAAGAAAGAGGATCATTTTTATATTCTTTAAAGCAGGAAATCAGTTGTTTCTTGGCTGCATGGCAGCTGCTATCAAATCAGGGTTGGTTAGAAGAGCCTGTTTCCTGTTAACACCAGATAGAGGAGTAGAGAAATTGGCTGAAGAACCTGAACTAGTTAAGTGTAAGATTTTCCTCCCCTCCTCCCCTGGGATAGGCTCTGAGATTATAAAACTGATTAAACAGCTGAAATTGAACAAAGCTCCAGAATATGAGATCATTTTAGCGGAGGACATTCAAAACAATTTAGATTGGTGGGTACCCATTTTGGCTTTCCTATTCACCTATATTGATAAATGTGGTAAGGTCTCTGATGATTGGGGCCTACCTTTGGTGGCTTCACTCTTCAAAAAAGAGAAGTAGAGATTATTGGCCCATTAGCCAATTAGTAAATTATATGCTAGCACTTGTAAAACAAGCTCCTGGATTGGGTTGCAATTGAGAATATCTTGGCTGATGAGGAGACAGACTTCAGAGAAAGCCACTCATACACTCTCTTATAGACACATTGAATAGCCCATCTCTTGATCTACCAATATTGGGAAATAGAACATTTCTTTTCTTCTATATGCAGATGTTGCTGCACTTTTTCCTTAGACACAGATTGTCTGAGGACCACTGATAATGTTACCTAGTTTGGGTAATGAAACATCTGCAAGAAAACAAGATCTCAGACACAGATTGGCCTAAAACTGGCACTTTATAGAACAGCTAGAAATTAAATACTCCAAGATCATGTTTTTTTGCTAAGTCACATGTCTGGCAGCTAAATAATTATCTAACAGAGTAGGTCTTAAATATCTGGGGATTATTTTCCATACTACAGGCAACCAGAAATTTCACATCGATTATGTTACCCTAAATGCACAAAAATCCTCTTTGGCTTTATACTTTTTCTATTTTTCCAAAGGGTCTCAGTATATATCTGCAGTGATTAAAATATCTTCAGCTAAGATCCAAGCCCAGCAACTCTTTGGAGTTTAGTTGAGCCCTTAAAGGGCATTCCTTTGTCTTGAAAGAGTTCAAACCAAGTTTTTGATTCTTTTTTAAGTACCGTATATACTCGAGTATAAGCCAAGTTTTTCAGCCCATTTTTTGAGCTGAAAAATGCCCCCCTCGGCTTATACTCGAGTCAATATTTTTCCCCAGTTCTTTATGGACTTACAATATCCGAGCACCGTTTAAAGAGATGCCGAAGGCAGACGGTGCCCAACTGCGCGCCTTTCCCCCTTGGCGGGGTGGTCTTTTGCAAAGTCTTTTGCTCGGATATTGTAAGNGTGGGGGAGAATTGAGAGAGAGAGAGAGAGAGAGAGACAAACACACACACACACACAAAGAGGAGAGGGGAGCCGGCTGGCCCACCCGTTTCCCCCTTTCCCTGCGCGAGCGTGTGTGGATGGAGCAGCGGCCAAGGGTTTATAAAGCAAGCGGCGGAGTCCTGCAGCTCACGGGGCATAACACGGTAAATAAATACGAACGTAGGGGATCCGCGCGTGAACGAAGCCCCACTCCCCTGCCCCTTTTGCTTTTGCTCCCGAGCCGGCATTTTTTAAAAGGGCTTGACTCCAGCCTGGGATTCGGAAAAGACTTTGCAAAAGACCACCCCGCCAAGGGGGAAAGGCGCAGTTGGGCACTGTCTGCCTTCGGCGTCTCTTTTTAAACGGTGCTCGGATACTGTAAGTCCACAAAGAACTGGGGGAAAGGACCGGGCGGGCGGGCGAGAGAGGCGGGCAGAAAAAAAAGGGGGGGAAATCCACACACACTTGCGCAGGGAAAGGGGAAAACGGGTGGGCCGGCCGGCTCCCCTCTCCTCTTTGTGTGTGTGTGTGTGTGTGTTTGTCTCTCTCTCTCTCAATTCTCCCCCACCCCAATTCGACCGTATTCTTCAATACGGGCCGGCCCCAGCAGTTCCGGCTGCTTGCCGGCAGTTGGCTGTTCCTCCGTGGCCGCCTCGGCCCCCCCCGGCTCTGTCAGTGAGCGCCCGGCAGAGCGCAGTGTCGCCAGGCCTCCCCCCTTCGGGCGGCCCGGTGTATTCCGTCCCAGCCTCAACATGCAGTGCCGCAGGGAATGGAAGGGAAGGGGGGAGGGCCGTACCTGGAGCATAACATGAAGAATTGGCTGAAGAATACGGCCAAATTTACCCGGGCTGGCCGAGAAAGGCGCACCTCCAGCCTTCCCCGCAACCGGGAGAAGCCCCCTCCCTTTTGCAAGGTCGCCCCCTCCCCGCTTTTGGGGTGGGGGAGAATTGAGAGAGAGAGAGAGAGAGACAAACACACACACACACACACAAAGAGGAGAGGGGAGCCGGCCAGCCCACCCGTTTTCCCCTTTCCCTGCGCAAGTGTGTGTGGATTTCCCCCCCTTTTTTTTCTGCCCGCCTCTCTCGCCTGCCCGCCCGGTTCTTTCCCCCAGTTCTTTGTGGACTTACAGTATCCGAGCACCGTTTAAAAAGAGACGCCGAAGGCAGACGGTGCCCAACTGCGCGCCTTTCCCCCTTGGTGGGGTGGTCTTTTGCAAAGTCTTTTCCGAATCCCAGGCTGGAGTCAAGCCCTTTTCAAAAGCGCCGGCTCGGGAGCGAAAGCAAAAGGGGCAGGGGAGTGGGGCTTCGTTCACGCGCGGATCCCCTACGCAAAAAAACCCCCAAGCTGATGTCTCTCCCTTAGAATAAATGCCAACAGCAAGCACGAATGACCAACAACTTCCCCGCCCTTTTTTTCTCCTCGTTTTCCTTTAAAACACACACACGCACACAAAAACCCGATTATTACCCGGTTAGGTTAATAAAATCTCGGAGAGCACCAAAAACTCCGGAGCTCAACCTTGGAGAGTCTCTCCGATTGAGGGAAGGGAAAGGAAAAAAAAAACACACAACCCAAACTTTTGCCTTTTGCAAAACTGGCATCTCTAATGAAAGGAGTGGGCTGCGAGCGCGGCCGTCCCACTCCTGCAAACTGCGGGCGAGTCCCCCACAGATAATCAGATAAAACCAAACTAAAACAGGCGTCCAGGAAGTTACCGTAACTCACCCGGGCTTGGTGTCGGCGGAGGCTTCCTCCAAGTTTCCCTCAGGTCTGACTGCCGAGAGGAGGAAGAGAGGAGCTGCTGGAGCTGTTGCTGCTCCAACTGCTGAGCTCGGCCTTCAGCGGGGGTTGCAGGCTGCTCTCTTTCGCTCGCTCGCCCGCCCGCTCGTCGAGTCCG